AATGGCAGAAAATCAAGCCAACTATTTGTGCTAGTCTGATTTCCAGTATAAAAAATCTGCATAAAGGCAGTTATAAAAGCAAAAGGAATCCACACCAAGTATTAAATATAGGTTAAATTTACTTTAAAAGCTTTGATCTTTTTCTTTAATTGATAAAATAAATGAGTTTCAATTATATTTCTATCTTTTATACACCTATCCCATAATTTTGACCATGGATGTATACATACATAAACACACACACACACACACACACACACACACACACACATATATATATATATATATATATATATATACATAAATTGCTAAAAATATACCACCCCACTTCTTCCGACGTAAAACCTAATTATAGCTTCTTTCTCTTTATTTCCCCCTTCTTTCTTTTTTCTTTTTCTTTTTCTCTCTTCTCCCCTCCCATTTCAATATATCACTTCTGTTAAGTTAACTGTTTAAATAGGTTAAGGTCTGGTCCTCCTCCCCCAATACTAAATATGATTGAAAGAAATATTAAAATAAACCCTCTCTAAACTCAACCATGTCTCTCCCACCACTCCTCGCTACCCTCTCTATTAAATTACATAAACTTGGTACTACCCGTCAAAAGTGTGAATTTTCATTTCATCTTTCGTTTCATTTTTGGAAGTGTTATCTGATGATCCAGCGTCCCTTAAAAGGGCTCTGGTGAAATAAATTATTATATTATAATGGAACCTTAAAGTGGTCTGTTTTTTTTATATATATATATATATATATATATATATATATATATATATATATGTGTGTGTGTGTGTGTGTGTGTGTGTGTGTGTGTGTGTGTGTGTCTTAATTATAACGTGTAATTAATAGTAATAGGCAATCAACATGGAATTTTTCTCTGAATTTCTTATTTTTATCACCTTGTCACCTTCTGTTTGAATTTCTGGGATAAAGTGTTACCATTAATTAAATTTCAACTAATATCCACACCTTTGTTAAACTAGCCAGTCCTTAATATCCATTTTATGTCTACACGTCCCAGTGGGTGATGACTAGTTTTCCACCTTACACGCCCTTTCCCCACAGACACAATGTCGCTACTCTATCTTGGTTTCCTTGGGAAATGTTCAGACTAGTTCCATTTCTTCGTTCCACAGTTTCAGACCTTTGCAACTAAGAAACGTCATATTTACGTCCACAGAGTTGAATCACCCTCATTCTCCCCTATATTCCAGTTGCAAGAAGGACGTTTCACTCAGATAGCTTCGTTCTAAAAACCGCTCCCTTGTGGAATAGACTCCTGCGTCGGTGCTGCACGCGACAATCTTAACCTTTTCAAGTCTTCAGTGAGTTTTATCTATCCTCCACATCTTCATAAGATTCATTTCTTAACTCCGCTTCTTACGTTCATATCACTGAACCGCATTCAGTAGACCTCCACCTTGAGGGGTCCTTGAGGAGTTCTTGTATTGGGTGAACATTAATAAAAAAAAATAAATAAATAAATAAAAACATTAAAAAAGTTGATTTTGAATAGTAATCTTAAGTTCAATCTCTGGGCCGGGTAGTACGGATTTCGACTCAAAGAATACACAAGAAATAACACAGCAGTACTAGAAAAAAAAAAGAAGTTATTAACAAGGCAGGATATCCGTAGACACTGACATCGTAACGAGTTCAATCTTCGTTGAATAAATAAAAGTTTTGGTTGATAATTTCCTAAAGTTTAATCAGATCAAAATGATCCCTGAAGAATGCAGGAAGACACAAAGGTCGAAACGACGTGATGATAGCAACACAGATTGATTTGTTTTGGTTTATTTTACGGCTTACCAACCTCTTCACATGATATTTAAAACCGCATAATATTTTTAGAATAAAAGGACCTCTAATCGGTTGTGAACTGGGGCAGGAATTGGCTGGTCAACTTTTATGCTTCAAAAACAAAACTGCTCTCTATTAGTCACCACAGAGATCCTTCCCTGCCCTCCATTAGAATGTCTCAACTTCTTGAGAGCACCTCTCTGCGGCTGGTCGGTCTCACGTTTACTGCTGACCTGAGATGGAACAAATACATTGAGTTAATTGCTTCATCCACCGCAAGGAAAGTTGGCTCCCTGTGCCGCACCAGGAAATTTTTTTCCCCGGAATCGATCCCCCAGATCTACAAATCAACAATTCGCCCTTGCATGGAGTATTGCTGCCATATATGGTCTGGAGCCCCTTCTGTTTGCATTGGGTTCTTGATAAACTCCAGAGCCGGATATGCAATATAATTGGCCCTGTTCTGGCATCTCGTCTACAGTCACTTTCTTACAGACGCGCCGTCGCCTCTCTCTGTCTTTTTTACAAATACTTTCATGGCAATTGCTCCGGGGAGCTGCATTCGCTGGTTCCCAGACTTCACTACGAGGCTGGTATCCCACTCTCACCCTTTCACTGTCGAAACTCGTAAATGTAGCCGTCTCTTCTACTCCAATAGCTTCATGTCTCACACCACTCGCCTGGGGAACTCCCTTCCCTATTCCAGTTTCCCTGAGAGCTATAATCTCCAGCTATTCAAATGTAATGTCAATCGACATCTCCAGTTGCCTTGATCTATCCACTACCCTTCTCCTCATCCTTTCTTCTTTCATTCCTATCTGATCTTGCTCCAAGATTTTTTGTAACCCCTTGCGTCTTAGTGGCTTCCCGCCTTGCTTGGGGTGAAACGGTTAAAAAAAAAATTATCTGAGATAATAACGATTTACTGATAAAATTCCTATTAATGAAACCATAGTTAGTGGAGAAGAGTGGGGTCCATACCATTCCCAAGGGTATTTGCGCGTGAATGAACTCGACTAGAATTGGAACTCGGCTCTCCAATTTCCTACTTCGTACCGTTTTCCATTACACCATCCGTACATTCTATCTATCTATCTATCTATCTATCTATCTATCTATCTCACTCTGTTCATCTCTCTACCTGTTTATTTATTTATCTATCTCGCTCTGTTCATCTATCTCACTCTGTTCGTCTGTCTATCTATCTATCTATCTATCTATCTATCTCATTCTGTTTATCTATCTATCTATCTATCTATCTATCTTTGTTCTTCTATTTATCTATCAATCTATTCGTCTATCTATTTATCTATCAAACTTTATTTACTTTATTCAGACTATTGTGGCCTAGCATATGTGCTGATTCATTAAGTTTACGAATTTTCCAATGGTGTTCCTTGTCAATGATCTTAACCTGATTCCACATAGGGCGGTGATCTCCCTTCTCTCTCCATATGTGGTCAGCCACGCCTGATTTTTCCACTTCCCCTCGTGTTACAGCTTTCTGGTGTTCTTGAAGCATTACCTTGAGGGGGCGGCCTGTTTCTCCTTTATATTCCTTTCCGCAGCTGCATGGGATAGCGTACACACAGTCTTTAGTCATGTTCTCCTCTATGGGGGGGTTCTTACTCGGGAGAGATATCTGCGAAGTGTCGTCAAGCACATATGCTAGGCCACAACAATCTCCTGAACCGACCAAGCATAGAAATAAATACAATATGGGAACCAGTAATAAGGAGTGCCAGAGAAAAGCAATGATAACAACATAGTTGCAATATGAGCTCTGGTAAAAACATGAAATTATAACAGCAAAATTGCAATATGAGCACTGGTAAAAATGGTTGCTGAAGACATTAGATTTATAATACCCAGAAATTCATACCCAGATGTCCTCAAGGACATGGCACAACGGATAAAGGCGTTGGTTAGATCCAGTGAAGGACCCAAAGAGTGTGAGTTCAGGCAGTGGAGAACTTTTAGAGGGAAATTAACAGGAGATAACTGATAACTGACATCCATCAAACATGGCACAGTTTACCCCAGTTCCACATTCCAGTGAGCGAAATAAAGAGTTCAGTTCGAAATTCCAACCACCTGAAGAATGCCGGAGCGTACAACGGCCGAAACGTTGTAATAAATATGGCGACAAAGATGAGGACAATAGTCCGAATAATGTAAATAATGTACATAATACCTCATCTCAGCAATATAGAGAGACTATCAATCTTTGTTCGTCTATCTATTTCACTGTGTTCATCTATTGTTTATCTATCTATCTCGCTCTGTTGGTCTATCTATCTATCTATCTATCTATCTATCTATCTATCTCACTCTGTTCATCTATCTATCTGTTTATCTATCTATCTCACTCTGTTCGTCTATGTTTATTTATCTATCTATCTCACTCTGTTCACTATCTATCTATCTATCTATCTATCTATTTGTCTCTGTGCGTCTATTTATCTATCAATCTATTCGTCTATCTATTTATCTATCAATCTTTGTTCGTCTATCTATTTCACTGTGTTCATCTATCTATCTATCTATCTCACTCTGTTCATCTATCTATCTGTTTATTTATTTATCTATCTATCTCGCTCTGTTCGTCTATCTATCTATCTATCTATCTCACTCTGTTCATCTATCTATCTATCTCATTCTGTCTATCTCACTCTGTTCATCTATCTATCTATCTCAGGCTATTCATATCTATTCATCTATTTACCTGGTATTTGCAAGCGGTCATCCATGTAGGTACTTAACTTTGGTGATCGTACGGAACCGATACTTCAACGTGGATGTGACCGTGAGCCCAACACAGATGAGTCTGTTAGTCCCAATGAGAATAAGATAAGTTGAAGGGAATCATAAAATTTGAAAATTTCTTTCAATTTTAATGAGCTATTTGATACAGTCGTGAATATATTTTGTGTTAGTTGCTTGAATATGAAGTCTGGTGACAGTGATCAAGTTACGCTTTGTATAGGGAAATGGCAAATGGCAAATGGCAAATGGGAATCGACTGTAATAGCGAGAAAGATGAGAACGAGCTGCGAAATATAAACAAATAGATGGTTAAGCGATAAAGAGGGGTGGCTAGATTTGAAGAGACTGATATGTACAGATAGGAAACTGATAGAAGGATAGTTATATCAGCTGATGTAGATATGGACAGTGTAAGATATATATATATATATTTATTGATAGATAGATAGATAGATAGATAGATAGATAGATAGACGGAAAGAGTGAGATAGATAGATAGATAGATAGATAGATAGATAGATAGATAGATAGATAGATAGATAGATAGATATGTATAGACTAAGAAAGAAAGGAATATACAAATGGAGTGAAATAAATAGATAGATAAATGGATATGAATAGCCTGAGCTAGGCAGATAGATAGATAGATAGATAGATAGATAGATAGATAGATAGATAGATAGATAGACAAAAAGAATAAGATAGATAGATAGATAGATAGATAGATAGATAGATAGATAGATAGAGACATACATACATACATATATACATACATACATACATACATAGACAGACAAAAAGAATAAGATAGATAGATAGATACATACATACATACATAGACAAAAAGATAGATAGATAGATAGACACACACATATACAGACAAAAAGAATAAGATAATAGATAGATAGATAGATAGATAGATAGATAGATAGATAGATAGATAGATATAAACAGACTGAGAGGGAAAATATGAAAGAAATGAACATCGATCGAAAGGTGAGTGTGGTAATAACGTAAGCGTTAACGACGATTATGTCGTGTAAATATACGAAGGTGATAATTCTGTCTGGTGCTGATTAAAACACCGTAGATGATCTTATTGAAAGTCCTTGTGACAGGACAAACACGATCAATGGTTATATGCCGTCATCGTTGTAGCCTTGAAAATAGCACGATTAGTGGTAGTAACGCTGATAGGGATTTGCGTGATGAATACAAAATAATAATAATAATAATAATAATAATAATAATAATAATAATAAAATGTAGGTTCTATGATAATTTCCCAGAAACAATCGATCATCTTCTTTCAGGTTGCACGGTATTGGCACCCACTGAATATAAAACCCGACATGACAGAGTGGGCCAATATCTTCACTGGAAAATCTGTAACTTCTACGGAAAGGAAACTGAAAAAAAATTGGTATGAACACCACCTAAACCCGGTTACGGAGATAGGACCTGTTACAATTTTATGGGATTACACAATACACACAGACAGAACAATCAATGCTAACCGCCCAGACATTGTTATTAGAGATCGCACACAAAAAGGGTGCCTCCTTATTGATATGACAGTCCCTGCAGACTGCAATGTATCTTTGAAGATATTCAAAAAGCTATCAAAATATAAGGACCTTGAAATCGAAATCTCAGTAATGTGGTACATTGGAAAATCAATAATCTCTGTTGTAGTTGGAGCCCTAGGATTGGTTGGAAAAGATTTCAGTAGACTAATTGAAGGGATTCCTGGAAGTCTATGCCTTAAAGAAATACGAAAAATTGTTCTCACGAGTACAACTCACACCTTACGAAGGACTTTATCTATGTAATTTTTTCTTTTTTTTGTGTGTGTCACGGGAAAATGTCATGATGCCATTTCTAACCTTGGGTCTCTGGGCGGGACCCGGAACGAAATGTGTAAACGCCAGAAATCAAAGGAAATAAAAAAATAACAACAATAATAATAGGCCTGTACAAGAATGGAAAAATATAACCAAAAATAAGATAAGTAAGGCAAAAAATATAACCAAAAATAAGATAAGTAAGGCAAAAAATATAACCAAAAATAAGATAAGTAAGGCAAAAAATATAACCAAAAATAAGGTAAGTAAGGCAAAAAATATAACCAAAAATAAGGTAAGTAAGGCGAAAAATATAACCAAAAATAAGGTAAGTAAGGCAAAAAATATAACCAAAAATAAGATGAGTAAGGCAAACTCTTACAAAATCCCCTAAATTTAAATCCCCAGAAAATGACAAGGTACCCAACTTTTGACTCATTTGTCATCTATCATCTATCATCAACCCATAAAAAAACTTGCAAAAACTTTATCAATGGTAATTAATAACACCAATGATATTCCAGAATGGATCACTGAAGGTATTACATATCTCCTACCAAAAACGATTGAAGCAATGAAATAGAAACTTTATACAGTAATAAAGGAAGCCAACAAATTGAAAAGGAAATTTCAAGTGGGTGAAGAAGTGCAAAGAAACCATAATGGCACCTACTGCTGTGGCAAAAGAACCTAAAAAAGAAAGTAAATGTAATGTGCCAAATGCAGAAACGATGGTAAGATAAGTCTCTTCATGTTTAATACTCTGCCCATACAAAACAAGCTGATGTAGACAAACGCCATTTGCATCAGTAGTTACGTAGTGCAGGGTTAAAAGCTGAAACCGAAGGTTTTATTCTTGCTGCACCTGACCAATTCTTGCTAAATAGAAATTACCAAACTGTTCTGACCCCAAATGCAGATTCTGTGAGAAATAGCCAGAAACAATTGACCATCTTTTATCAGGTTTTACAGTGTTAATAAATATAAAACTTGACATGACAAACTAGGCTAATATCTGCACTCGAAAATCTGTTGCTTTTGCGGAAAGGAATCTGTATGAACAGCGCCCGGACCCGGTTACAGAGATAGAAGCTGTAACAGTTTTATGGGATTTTAGAAGACACACAGACCGAACAATAATAGCTAATCTTCCAGGCATCGTGATACAAGACCACAACAACAGAATATGATCTCTTATTGATATGGGAGTCCCTGCAGATTGCTATGTGTCTTTGAAGATGTTCAAAATATCAAAGTACAAGGTTCTTGAAGAGGAAATCTGAAAAAAAATATGGCACATGAGGACATTAATAATTCCATTTGGGATTGGAGCCTCGGATCCATTGGAAAATGTTCCGATACAAGAAATGCAAAGCAAAATTGTACTCACAAGGACGTTCACATATTACGAAGAGGTTTCTCTATGTAAAATGTGTCTGATCTTATTCCTTTGGATATATAAAAATGATCAGTGGAAAATGTCATGAAACCATGAAAGAAACATTAAATTGTATTCAATAATAAAGGAAGCCAACAAATTCAAAATGGAGTTTCAAATGGGTGAAGAGGTGCAAATAAACCATAATACACCTAATGCAGCGACAATGAATCTTAAAAAAAGAAAGCAAAAGTAAATGAAAAGTAAAAAAAATGCAGACACAATGGCAAGATATACCTCTTCCTGGTCAATACTCTACCCGTACCAAAAAAGATGATGTAGTCAAACCCCGTACACATTAGTGGTTACGTAGTGCAGGGTTAAAAGCTTAAAGCGAAGGTTTTATTCTTGCTGTATAAGAGCAATGCTTACTAATTAGAAATACCAAGCATACATATTGAAAAATTGTGTTGACCCCAATTCAGATTCTGTGATAAATATCCAGAAACAATTGACCATCTTGTATCAGGTTACGCAGTTTTAGCACCAACTGAATATAAAATTCGACATGATAGAATGAGCCAATATTTGCACCGGAAAATATGCAACTTTTATGGGAAGGAAACTAAGAAACTGGTATGAACATCAGCCAGCCCCGATTCCATTTATCGCGCCGATAACCGTACTTCTCACAAAATGTTCTTTACATTGTACAAAGGATGGTTTTATCAGTGATAAAAAATATAGCAGCAAACATTTGCACCCCGGAAGGTTCCACCCTCGTTTGAGATGTCAAAGTCTGAACTTAATCTCGCCATGATTTTTTGTTTGTATTGGATTTTCTAGTAATAATTTTTTTCTTTTTTTTATCCCCAGTCATTAATAAGATATTCATTTAATTTTTCTATATACTTTCATTAATTACTTTTTATCTTCTTGTTTCGACGACTCATTTGTCACGACACACGCAGCAGGAATAATTAATTGACTGTATGTGGTGTGATAATTTGATTCCCAGAATGACTGTAGCGTGTCGCTAGGGTAATGCGTCAAGAAAATATTTGCACCAAAGCACGTCCGGGTATGTTCAAACTTACGCGTTTTTGCGATACAGAACAGATGAGGCATTCGCTGCCGAGTAGTAGAGGAAGTAGTACGTGTTCTTGTTATATTATCGGAAAATGAGTAAAAGAAATTGGAGTAGCGGATTAGCATCGAGATTTGTGTAACGTTTGGTAAAAATGCGAGTGAAATCATAGCCTTATTAAAAGCGGATTAAGGCGAACAAGTTATAAAGAAATTGAGCGTTTTTAGTGGTACATGCGGTTCCTGTATAGGCGAAAAGATTGATGATGCAAGAAAAAAAAGCCCCCACACCAGGGAAGCCAAACATAAAATGAAAAAAGAAAAACAAAACAAATGCAAATTTGGATAGAGTATGAACGTTGATATGTTCAAGTCAAAGGTTAAATTAGGTGCCTCAAAAAAAAAAAATGGTTTAAAATGAATTTTTAAAAATGGCAAAAAAAATGAATTTTAAAAAATAAAAAATCTTTCTTTAAGTTTTTATTATCATTTTAATTTCAAGCTAATTGATTCAACTTAAGATTTTTAATAAGTAAAACACTTTGCTGTATTTCAAAACCTAATTTAAATTGACTGGAAGGAGTTTTTTTCTTTTGCTATATGTTGTGGACTATTTTCACAGTGAAGGCTTGTATTTCTAATAAGTCGTCCTAAATTAGGTCCGACGTACAAAACGTTAGGAACTTGGAAAATAAAAGTCAATGGTGCAGCAATCTAGTTGTGATGGTTGGTACTTCAAATGTCCGAATCTCGACTGACGCGCTCAACACCATTCAGTATTTATCGTTCCACCCACGAGGACCGAATATGGCACAAGGCCGGTTTTAATGTGGGTATCCCCGAGCACGTAGGCCCGGCCAAAAATATAGCCTTTGAACCCGCCTAGACGGGTTCAGGCCCTGTCTACCTCCCCGGACGAAACCTTGCCTCTCGGCAAAGCCTCGCCCGGGTTCCTCTCTGCTAACGCAGAGAGTTCGACAGGAGGCGTGAGCAGTCAGAGACCGCTCAACACCATTCGGTATTTATCATTTCACCCACGGGAAACGAATATGGCACAAGGCGGGTTTTATTGTGGGTTTCTCCGAGCCCGTAGGCTCGGCCAAAAAAATAGCCTTTGAAGCCGATTAGACGGGTTCAGGCCCTGTCTACCTCCCCGGACGAGGACCGAATATGGCACAAGGCCGGTTTTAATGTGGGTATCCCCGAGCCCGTATGCCCAGCCAAAAATATAGTCTTTGAACCCGCCTAGACGGGTTCAGGCCCTGTCTACCTCCCCGGACGAAACCTTACCCTTCGGCAAAGCCTCGTCCGGGTTCGGCAGAAGGCGTGCGCAGTCAGAGACCGCTCAACACCATTCGGTATTTATCATTTCACCCACGGGAAACGAATATGGCACAAGGCCGGTTTTATTGTGGGTTTCTCCGAGCCCGTAGACTCGGCCAAAAAAATAGCCATTTGAAGCCGATTAGACGGGTTCAGGCCCTGTCTACCTCCCCGGACGAAACCTTGCCCTTCGGCAAAGCCTCGTCCGGGTTCCTCTCTGCTAACGCAGAGAGTTCGACAGGAGGCGTGCGCAGTCAAAGACCGCTCAACAACATTCGGTATTTATCATTTCACCCACGGGAAACGAATATGGCACAAGGCCGGTTTTATTGTGGGTTTCTCCGAGCCCGTAGGC